GTGTTTGAGAAAATGCTTCAAAGGTGTTTCCCCTGTTCCCACCTGTGTTTGAGTTTTGAGTTTTTTGTTTTTTGAGTTCTAAGTTTTTGTTTCGTTTTTGAGTTCCAAATCAAATCTTCCCACTCACTATAAAGCCATCGGCTTTTAGTAACAGACCACAATTTAAGACCCAATACAGCAGTGTTTGTATCAAAACATTCCCAAAATAGTAACCAAAGAACCGACAGTAGTGTTTGTATCCAGTAGAAGGTTAAGAAATAAAAGTGACACTAGATACAAACACTACTAGGTTTGCTTATTGCATAGTTTTTGAGTTCTAAATTTTTTATCTCTACAAAATTTTCTGGAAGTCAAAAGGCACCGCTTGTTAAAGAATTGTAACTAAACAGAGTCCCATAAAGCATGTGTTTGAGAAAGTTGGCATAAACATCAATAAGGTTAGGCAGCTCACCCTCCTACTCTTACAAGTTTAGTTACTTGGCTTCTAGCACAGACCATGGATTTGTGAAGAGTAGACTTGTTGCAATAGATTGCCAATCTCCCTCTTTTGTTTACTAAGAATCAATATTAATGGTTCTTCAAACTAAACTATACACATCTGTTGATTAAGTGACATATTAGTCAACTTATATGGGCCCTAGGTTCCAACTCTTGGTAAACATTGTGAACTTACTACACAGTGGATAGTACAGTGGAATCAAATAAATGAATTAATTTTCTCACAACATATGTGTTATGTGAGGCAAATGACAAGGTTTTTGGCTTGCATTGGTTGCTATATCTATCTCTGTTATTTGGCTTGCATTGGTTGCTATATCTATCTCAATCGCATTCTTTATAATCTAATCTTTATAATGTGGACAACGAGTGCAGTTTGTGCAGTTCATAATTGTATGGATTATAGTCTATAGATATGTTTCCTCTTTGTTGTTTATTTTATCTAAAACAATGACACTTATTAACCTTTTGTCTGTTTACTGTTTTAGCTTGGCCCAACTCATTACTGTGTACCCCATCCAAGTTCATTACTATGTACCAATTCAACATCGATTCCTCAATCCATCACTCTCCAGGTAACATTGTTTCCTCTCTTCTTGCATCATTGATCAATTGGGTTTCAATTCTTGCCAACTGTCCACAGTTTAAGACCCGATAAGCCCCATCTTATATCACTAATTTTAGTCCGAAATTGAATTAGATTTGATATTGAAAAATCCATTGTGGMAGCATAGGAATAGATGGTTGGCTGCCAGAATGTTGATTCACAGTAGAACCAGTCCAAATTGAGTCTATCAAGTCCCCTCCTAATAATACCAATTGTATTCCATAGGGGATTATGCAAGAAATTTGAAGAATCCACTTTGGCAACATAGGAATAGATGGTTGGCTGCCATAATGATGGTTCATTATATGACTAGACCAGTATCCAATATCCAACAGGTTTCCATATGACACCAACAGGTTTTTGAATCATATTAGAGAACTGGTTAACAGTTCCATTACTGTCTAAACCAGTTATGCCACTCCAAACTTTCCACAGGCTTTGAGTTATAAAGAGGTTAAATAAATGGGTTGTGTTACTTTTGCTCCTGTTTCATTTTTGAGTTCTAAGTATTTGTTTCATGTTTGAGTTCATTTTTGAGTTCCAAATCCRATCTTCCCAATCACTATAAAGCCAACGCCTTTTTGTAAGAGAGCACAGTTTAAGACCCGATAAGCCCCATCTTATATCACCAATTTTAGTCCGAAATTGAATTAGATTTGATATTGAAAATCCATTGTGGCATCATAGGGATAGGGTCATTACTGTCTAAACCAGTTATGCCACTTCAAACAAATGCACCCAAATAAATTCAAGAAGTATATCGACATAAGTTTAGGAGTTCCAATAGGACTCAATAATGTGGTAGTGTAGCAACAGAAGTTAAATGACCCTTCGCTTTGTTTTGAGCCAGTTATGCAAATTTTACCTCCAGATTATTATTCTTTCCATCTTAAGGCTGCAGAACGAGCCAGTATCTAATACCGGATTCTATGTACTGTATTGGACATAAGATTCTGAAATAAACTTAAAATTCTACCACATTCTTTGAAAGCACGTCGGCACTATATTATAAATTAAAAAATAAATTTGCAATATCCTACACAGGTTTGATGGACTAACATAAACATAGATATCTTCATGAGCTAAAATGTAATATTACCAGTTTCCAGTTGGTAAGGAAATAGGAATCAAAAAGACCCTCAGTCATGTTTTTTGTTCCAATCAAACCCAACTTTAGAATCATCCCAATATCATTAGCCATAAGACACAAAAGCCAAGCCAGACACCAAACAATGGTCTTATAGTAATTGATATTTGATTGTGTTTTCTCAGGGGAAAAGATGCAAAAAGATGTACGTATTCTTGTGAGGTAGCCGAAGAATGCTTCGAGATGTGTCGTAGACTCGAAATTTCCATTTCTTGTGAGAAAGAGGAATAAACATATAGAATGATTTACGATTAGGAGGTTGTTGTGCGAGGTTCAAAGTTCCACAGGTTTGTCCTTTCTCTTTTATCTAATTTTATAAAATTTGTTTGAACCTTAGTAACTGTCTATTTCTTGCTAAAATGAGGACTTACTGATTAAAATATATTTATATTTCTATTTCAAACAAAAGTATATTTATGTTTCTTTTTAAAACAGACTTAGGGGTCGTTTACCAAACGCTTACCTGGATAAGGGCTTATCAAATCACATTACATTATCGGATGAATATGGTAAGGACCAAGAATCTTACCCGGTAAGAGCAAGACAAGGACCAAGAGTCTTACCTGGTAAGTGAGGGCAACGACTCTTACCACGTAAGTGCTTACCGGTAAATTGTTGCATACGATGCCGTTTTGATGGACTAAAATCTTACCCGGTAAGTAAATGATAGTGTTAATTTTTGCCGGTAAGCACCTACCAGGTAAGTATTTGATAAACGACCCCTTAGTTATTTTTTGTGTTGAGTGTTCACTGGTGGTATGGATTGTGATAAGATCAAAAGCAACAGGTTATAACAAAAACCAATGGGATCTTGTCAATTGGCAGCGAATGATATGAGACAAGACAATGACATTGGACCTACGGAACATGTCGGAGAACAAGGCAATGACATTGTTGGCGCATGAGGGGCTAATTGTAGGTTTGGTATATTTAACGGTTACGGGTTTGGTTGCATCGGCTAGCAATGATAAGATAATGGCATTTGGTTTGATGTAGTTTGTGTTATTGGTTGTTTTGTGTATGTTGTTCGACTTTTATCTATTCTAGATAACTGTTGTGGATGTTTTTTTTGCCTTTAATGGAAGTTGGTTGGTTTGGCCAAAGTCCATTGGTGATTATCCGGGTCGTATGGTTTGGGGTTGGTTGTTGGGAAGAGGGTAAGGGGCCGTTTATCTAAATGCTTATCCGGTAAGCGCTTACCATTAAGAGTCAACACTATAATTTTTTTATCGGGTAAGATTGTAGTACATCAAAACGTATTTTATGCAACAATTTACTTGGCAAGCGTTTACCCGGGTAAGAGTCGTCACCCTCACTTAGCGGGTAAGACTCTCAATTCTTATCATCGCGCTTACCGGGTAAAATTCTTGCCCGTTGCCATGTTCATCCGGTAAGGAAAATTGCCCAATAAGTACTTACCGGGTAAGCGTTTAGTAAACGGCCCCTTAGTCTTGGGATGGATTTTGGTGACCAGATGTTGATGAAAATGGTGATGACAAGGGTCAGGGAGAGGATGCAATTTCTGTGGTATTGGATGGTGAGACAGGGGAAGTAGGTGACTCCTCATTTTGAGGAATGGAATCATGGTTGTTGTGTTGGGTGGTTAGTATCGGTTTGGGGGTCGGTTATTAAATAGACGGTCGTTTGAAAGGCATGGGACCAGTAACTTAATTAGCAATCCGGAGAAATGAAGTAACGGAAGTCCTGATTCAACGACATGTCTATGTCGTCTTTCAGCAGTGCCATTATGTTTTGATGTGTCCGTGAAGTGAGATACTCCATAATGATTGAGGATAGGGATTAAAGGGCCGTTTACCAAACGCTTACTCGGGTAAGTGAACACCAAGTCACATTACGTTACTGGATGAATATAGTAATAATCAAGAATCTTATCCGGTAAGAGCGAGACAAAGACCAAGAGTTTTACCCGGTAAGTGAGGGCAACGACTCTTACCATGGTAAACGCTTACCGGATAAATTATTGCATACGATACCGTTTTGATGGAATAAAATCTTACCCGTTAAGTAAATAATAATGTTAAACTTTACCGATAAGTAAATTATTGTGCAGCATTGTGGGATCTGAAATTGCATGATCAGAGGCCCCACTGTCAAATAACCAAAGTCGTGGAGTAGTTGATGGTTTTGCCAACATTGAAGCATTGATTATAACTGGTTTCATATTATCCCTACAATTTTGATCCGGTTTACATTTTGTATCAAATTCATTTAATTAATACCAGAAGAGTATTCGTGCAATGCAGCGAGACATATTTCGATTTTAATGTTCTATTTTATTATTTGTTTCAGTCGATGTTATAATACGATTTTATGTGTTTTTAAGAAAGCAATAATGGTTTTATTTTTGAATAAAATATAAATTTGAAAAAATATATATCATTGTTAATATCAAATCAACTATTTAAAAGTTTTCATTTTTTATGTAATTTCTTTAATTTATTATAATTTAATTAAGTTTAATAATGAAATAATTTATTTTTGGTTTAATAATATAACATTTCATAAATATAATAATTAAGTATTCTGTTAGAACTCAATAATTATCTTAATTATATTTTAGATTTTTTATATTTAAAATGAGATGTTTATTGCAGTTAGTCACACAAATTCAGATATGGGGCTTTAATAAGCTGTACTTATGCACAATCTACTTGTAATCTTGAGTTTTAAGTAATATGCATTAATAAACAGTATTTTACGCATAAAAAGTGGTTTTTAAGAGTTTTTGTCAAATGCTTTATAATATAGTATAGATACATTTTGTAGTTTATTACTATACATTTCGAACATCTCATTTTTATGGTACAAACTTAGATGCCAATTGTATAAGTATATGAAGCATTTAAGGAGGAAAAATTGAAACCCAATCGGCTTGCTTCATCATTCGGCCGTTGTCCCATCTCCGGCCCCTTCCGGTCATCTTGTCACGAAAAATACAACACTCTCTTATCTCACACACACATACAACATAATCAACACCCAGATCGGTTTATACGACACTCAAATTGGAAAGCCATCAACGGCCACCACAATCTCCAACCTGTTGAGCATACCCAGATCTGTTAAAATTATAAGCTAAGTCATGTGATTATCTATAAGTTATTTTATTTATTATAGTTGATAGGTTATTAGCGACAGTTTTTTTTGTGTGGTTATTTACCAGTAGTTGTGTTGGTTGACAAACCATTATGTTGGTCAAAATTCTGTCGCTTCTTTTATATATATATATATATATATATATATGTGTGTGTGTTTTTGTTGAATATGAAAAGACGCTGCAGTAATAATAAATTATTCTTTGTATATCTCACAACAAACTATCTATCTATCTCTCTCTCTCTCTATATATATATATATATATATATAGACTTAGGATCATCTGAGACCAATGGTTTTTTGTGAGACCCGTAAGACCAATTCTCAACCCTTGGATTAAATCTACAATCTGAACATTCATAATCATAAAATTGCCACGAGACTTTTCAATAATCACAAAATTGTCACCGTGCAACTTTAAACCATTAGATCATTAGCTTATAAAGTTGATCAATGAACACAAATTGGTCTTACGGGTCCCACGAAAAACTCTTAGATGTGAATCCAACCCTATATATACCTATATATACATATATATATATACATATATATATATATATATATACATACATATATACATATATATATACATATACATATATATATACATAGAGGAGTGATCATATGAAAACCGCCCTCATTTGTGTAAACCGTGCAAACCACCTTCATCTGTCGATTTCATTGTTTAATCTTATGAAATTTTTTCATGAAATTGTTTAA